AATGCCGGATATATTCTTCTGACTTTCATCTGTACTTAAAGAATCTAACACCATGACCAGATCGTTCTTTAAAAACCGATTACTAGCCGAACCAGATGTTGCAGGTTTTTCCAAAGAATGCCTCATTCTCATTCCTCAACCTGTAATGGCATCTGTGTTTTCGGTTTTTTGTTTTTGTAATTGTTTTTCAATCCTTTCTTCTACGACTGGTTTGTAAAATGTGTGCTTATAGCGGGGGTCTAAACAGGTGGATATGGCAAATAAAAAGTTATTTTGCAGGGATGAAAAATTCAGAAAACATTTGTTTTCAAAGTCATCAGAATCTTGTGATTTTGTTAAATAGTCGCGCAGTTTTTTAACGCCCGAGTAACAAATACTGACTAAATTTTTTAAAAAAGCTCCGCATTATTATTACGAGTAGGAATGTTAAAATGAATGCGGAAACAACGCGGTAATGAATCCGAATCCACATATTCGCAACAACCCTGGTATTTGCATATGTACCTTCGTTACCGGTTGTTTGCTGCTGTTGTTTGTGAAATTGTTTTGCCATTTGGTTTTTGTTTTTCTGGTTGCCAGTTGTCTTCTATTGTTTTCTCAGCAAGTTTTTTCTTTCGTTTTCTAATTTTTATTGTATCTGATCATTTTCCCTGTAACTGCTTGTGGGCGTATGGGCTTGGTTACCATTCTGACGCAAGCACTTACTCTATATTTTTGTTTCTTCTATTTTTATGTTTTGTTTGTTTTACCTTTTGAATTCTTTTCTCTACTATTTTGAGTTCGATGAATTGCCACTAATTGACGTGAAATTGTTCGAGTTAGTGTAAGTAATTCATCATCTAACTAAACGTCTCATTTATTGGCAGGTTGTATTTGCACTTTCTACCTTGAACTGTTTTTGATGAAGTTTATTTTTCAATTCGAATATCAATAAATCAAATATGCCCAGTTGGAATTTCTCTATTCAAGGTCAGATAAAGCGTCGAAACTTAGAAGCCAAGCCACTTATCATATCTAACCGTTTTCCATGTAAAAAACGTAAAGCTGGCAACTCTATGCCACAAACTTCACTATCTTTCCTTTTCTTATTTAACCGTATCTGAAAAAAAGTTCGCCGTACATCCCTGAGTCTAAGCTCTCTTTGCACGGCAATTTCGAAACTTTTTGGACGAACGCAAGGGTCGCCTTTTGGGATTTTTCGTCATATCTTCCGCATTTACAGCCAGATCTTGAATTATGATATATTGATGTTTTTGTCTCAAGGGGACAATATTTTTTGTTCCAAAGTTCATTTACCTTAACCTTATACCACAGAATAAACAGTATACAGAAGACGCATGTCGACTATCGAA